CTCCAATGTGGAATGATTAATGGGTGTTCATGTAATTGTGAGCAAAGCAGAAGTTATTGGGGGTGGGGGGTTGGGGAAGTAACTCAACTGCTAGACATTTAGTACAATTATAAAAATTAGGAAAGCTTTATAGTTTGTGTCTAAAAGAAGCCATATTCATTAAGTACAAGGCTGATGAAATACAGTGGATGATTGAGGCTTAATTTTGAGTTCTTGGTCTCCGTTCATAAAGTGAATGTATACAATTTTAAATATTTTACTCAACATTGATAGCCGTCTTTTAAGATGCTTGAAGTCATGTGTACCAAGTCCATACAGACTGTGGAAGTCAATTTCCAGATGGACAACTCATTAATGCAAGAGAAGGGACACCAGAGCCCTGAAGGAGGTAGCCAACACTTCAGGAATTGAGTTGATAGAAGCCTCTTTGTTTTGTTCTAAATGTATTGGGGGGAGGGGTGTTTACAAAGCACACCTATAATATCCTGTCTATGACAGTCCTTAAAACGTTAAGGACAAAATCTGTCTCGTGAAAAGTCAAGTAAACTTAGACCTTAAAAAACTGATATACTTACAGTATCAAAGAAAGGTCAAAATGAATGAATGAAAACACTTGGTTGTTCAGAATTTTCATGTGTACACAGCTGGTTTAAGTGAAATCTATTAGTTTGTTGTCTGAAATAAAAAAAGCTTGGTTAAAGCTGGGGCCATGCTATAAGCTTGACACCTCTTTGGTACATTTTCAAGTCCGTTTACATAGACAATATACCATTTTTTAAATATAGGAGCACAACTGTATGTACTAGTGGAGTAAGTTTACAGTTATTTCCTACTCTCCCCTCCAATTTCCTTGTTCTAGCAAAACCAAAATTGGGGACTATTGAATGAAATTTGTTGTCCCCACATTTAGGACTGCATAAATTACCTTTTACAGCAGTTTCCATACACATCAGATCCATTTGACGATTTCCCCCCCATACATTATACAGTACAGTACATTGACAAGGATACACCATCATAGTGCATAGTGGCTATGTTTACGGTAAAAAAAAGTTTAATAACCCAGAGAAAATTGATACACTGTGTAACTACATTACAAACACAATGTGGAGTAGATGCAGGCGCCGCACTCTACAATTCTGGAAGTTACAATGTTTTAACAGGATGTTGCAACAATATCCTAAAGTAACCTCCCACCCTAAAGATCGATAAATGGGTTTAAATGCAAGTCACTGTGGATAAAGAGCATTATTGAAATAAAAGGAAAATAAGGATTCAATAGGAACACGAATATAGGCAAAG